TTGATTTGGTTTTTTTTTTTTTTTTTTTTTTTTTTTTTTCAAAGAATATAAAACCATGATTTTACTATAACAAATAAGTTGAAACTCATGAGAAAAGATAGCTTAACTTTTCCAAAACTCATTTTAGATGGGTTTGATTGTTTAAACGTCACATTAAAATTCAAATTACATTTAAGCCAAACATCAGTTTGAACTAGACTCATGGATTCAAACCGTAAGAACCCAAGAACGACAAACTTTTATAGCCATATTTTAAATAAAACCCAAACAGCTGTTAAATTATAGCTGAAGTTATTGACCTCAGGCTGTTTAATCATGGAGAGGATTATACCAAAGCCAAACACCCATGTTCATAAAGAACATAAAATGGTAAAAGGTAAGTGGTAGGTCCTTCTCAAATGAAATGATAATAAAAACCATTAGAGTTAAGACCAACTGGTGCTTAAAAGTTTCATTGGATTCTAAAATTATTGATGCTTTTATGTTTGGATAATGAATGTAGCCGTGTGGAATATGCTATTCCAATCTTAGCAAAATGGTATGTAGGAGTGTACAGTGAAACTGATTTTTTTTTTCCAGATTTTCAACTGAACAATCCATAAGATATATAGACATGCTAAATGGCAACAATTTTATAAGATACATCCCTCAAAAAGTGCCCATAAATTTATGTGTTCTTTTCCTAAATAAAAGTGGGGTTTGAGTTTGACACCCAAAAGTGGACTGAGATTGTTGATCCCATGTGCATAAGGGACCAAATACAATTACAAAGAAAGTAATTTAAGTGTCGTTTATTTCACCGATTTGAGTTTAGAATTTGAGTTTTGTTATAGTAAAATACTTTCAGAAACAGTCATATCTAATTTTTTTATTACAGTAAAAAAAAAATTCTCACATAAAATCACATCTCAATTCAAATTAAAAACTTAAATTAGCGAACTAAACAGACTTTTTAACATACTTGTAATTTGGAAATTAGTGTTAGTTATATTTTAGCTGGGACTGTGGGACGCAGACAAGTTATTTGGTGCATCCACCAAGAGAACAAATATAAATAATCTTTAGATCTTCTTTTTCCCGTGCCTGATTCTCATAAATAACCAAAATCCAAAAACTTTTGTTTTTAATGCTGAGAAACATGGAAAAATCCAAACACTTGCAAGACTGGTTTCAGTGGCTTCTTTATCAAACCAACTTTCTAAACCATCTTTTAGAAAACAGCACATGAAAATAGTACTTTGTTATCTTTTTCAATAAAAAGCAAGAACAATGTCATTTCCTATTTCTTAAATTCACATTTTCTTTTGGTGTGATGAAATACATTCGGCGACCCATTAGGTAGCAAACTTATAATGTTTTGTGATTTGTCATTGTAAATTGAAGAAAGCAAGGATTCTAAGAATATATATATATATATATATATATCAATATATATGTTGCTCTTTCTTTTAGCTATTAAATCTCTCTTTGAATGAATATTATAGTGTGATACTCTCAATCATTACGGATGGAGTTAAATGATCTCTAAATCGACTATTTCAATTGGCTAAAATTCATTATTTGAACGAAGCTTGTAATACCATATTTGAATATTTGGCAATACAGAATCTTTTATGTTGTTTGGATATTTTCCCAGGCATGAGATACGATAATTTGTTAAATTTTATATTAAAATTTATAAATTCGAACGATAAAATTATAAAAATTACGATAAATTTGTGAATTTTAAAGGAACGCGATGAATCAAGAGAGAGAGCATCTGTTAAGGTGGCGCACCACCTCACATATTGGTCTCTCTTTCTCCCTTAACTGCAATGGTGGGGTGAGTTGCAGAGTAGATTCGCCTTGTCTCCCTTATGGTCCTTCCTTTACTGTGCGGTCACATGATGTATTATTGCTTGTTCCATTTTCATTTTTACAATATGCTTTTCCATTGTCCATATCAATAAGTTCAAAACTACTCTTCCGCATAGATCCACTTCCACTTGGGTGACTTGTTTGATGTACATATTCAAAGAAATATAAAATATTGAAATAAGTCTATCCTTCACATTTTATTTTTCTTGGAATGTAATGGGCCAAACAAGAACAAAAATTTACATGCGAGGCCTTGTGAAGATTGCTGTTATTTACTTCATTCATGGCTCTTTCTTTCAACAAAAACTGAACGTGGCATTTTTTTTTATCTGTATCCTTTTTCTTTTCTTTTTTATTTTCCCAAATATGCAAGCTACTTTGCTCTTGCTACAGAGGGTACATAAATAGATAGAAAACAGATGGCAAGAACTTTACAAGTAAACTACGCTTGAAAGGGAAAACAGTTGCATGCAGGAAAAACAGATGTAAGTGGTCATTTTGAGCTAAAATAAGAGGAAAGACATAGATGATGTTTGTTTTCTGTATTCATCTTTAATTTTAAATTATGATTCATGATTCTTTAAATTATGACTTTGAATTTATGAACAAAACGTCCACCTATATTGATTAGAAAAGCAATTTGTTCCTTTTTTTTTGGTTATGTGTAAGTTGTCCAGTCCATCGTGAAACTTTGGATGCAAGGATAACATGTACTTTGGGATCAGATTTACCTCTTCTTTTCCTGTTATTTATTTATTTTTTCTTTTATTATTATTATTTTTTCCATTTGGGTCATAGCAGTCAAGCCAATTTGGTTTGGAATCCATGGTCCAAAGCGTTACTGAACTTTACGGCTGAGATTAGGGTTACTTCTTAGCCCACAACCTCTCGCACTACCTCAAGTAGAAAATAAAAATAAAAAATAAAAAAAATAAAAGAAAAGTTAAAAAAGAAAAATCCATCTCTTTCCTCCCCCAAAACCACAGCTTTTTTTTTTTTTTTTTTAAAATAGTCAATTATAGCATTTTTTTTTAAATAGAGATATTATATCATATTTTTCTGAAATAAGAAGACCATGGCTGGTGTCGGCGACCGACGTCTTCCCCTCTGAAAAGAGTTTCTCTGGTACGGTTTACCAAAGCGGAGATTGCTAAGTTGGAAATTGCGATCTTGCCCCAAAGCATCGCACACAGCACTCTGATTCATTGCCTCCCATTTAGTAGGGGTTGCCCGAAAGGAGACCGGAAGGCGTACATCAGAGCAAGCTTTTCGAGCCCCGTGGACTTTCTTATCCGAAAGCCTCTCTTTGTTGAATAGATCTCTCGACTGTTCCTCGTGACGAAAGATCCTGGCCAACTCCTCCGTCGATTTGAATTATCCGGAGGATGCCTTATATATATTATATCAAAAAGATGGACAATCAAACCTATTTCTCGATTCAATAGAAGCCCAAAGAAGTGAATAGGGTCCCAAATAACGAGAGATATGTAAAAAGCAGGTCCGATTACGCCTATTCCTAATCCTAAATGGAATGTAACGACGTAGGGATCCATATGTAAACATAGTATCTATTTAGATACGCTCGAATGACCCCTTCTCATAATTAGAATGTAGCCAGCTCCGGTGACCGGCGGCAATTATTGGTCTCTGGTGACCGGCGACTGATAAATATCGTATTTACAGGTAAATACTATATTTACTGATAAATACTGTATTTATTATATTTTTTTGAAAATCCGGCGAATGGCTCCCACGATTGATAAATACCGTATTTATCAATAAAAATCAAATTTATCCGAAATCCAGTCACTGACTCCGGCGTCTATTTAACATTGTATTTGTCAGTAAATACCATATTTACTAAATAAAAATCATATCTATCCGAAAATTCCTCCACTACTCTGGCGACCGTTAACAATGTATTTACTTATAAATACGGTATTTACTAATAAAAATCATATTTATCTGAAAATTCAGCAACCAACTCTGACGACCGTTTAACATTGTATTTACCATTGAATACCGTATTTAACGGCAAGTATCACAGATTTCAAATTATAACTAGTAAAGTATTTACAAGTAAATACAGTATTTACCAGATTCAAAGTTGTAAACACTTAAAGGTAAATACAATATTTACGGTATTCAAAATTGTAATTAGTAAAGTATTTATTGTAAATACAATACTTACCAAATTCTAAACACAAAAGCAGACAAATGCAAAACCAAATTTCACAAAAATTTCACAAATTCTCGAATCTCAATCACAAACACAGATTACAAAAAAAAAAATGCAAAAAATGCAAAAAACCACCGATCACAATATCTAAATTGAAAGCCTAACCCTAATACAACAATAATCTACCCTCCGGCCGAAGAACATGACTCCTTGCCACCGCCACCGCCACACTGATTCCCATGAGAGATTCTGGAGAGAGATCATGGAGGCTAAGGGAGTGAATTTGGAAGAAAGAGATGAAACCCTAAAAGAAGGGGCAAAGTTGGAAAACTATATTTTATTCTTCATGAAAATTTAAAGATGTGCTATAATTTATCAACATTTTTAAAAAATGTTATTTAATTCAAATGTGTATATAAAAAATGCTGTAGGATGCATTTTCCTAAATAATTTGACTAAAAATATTATTAATCAAGAGTAAGGGATAGAAATCCTAACTCATACACTTTTACGGGATATTTATCTCATTTTCCCAAAAAATAAATACACAAAATAATATTAAAATTGCAAATGCGCCAATAAACCAGTTCTAAGAATAATCCAAGTCAAGAAGATCTTTAATCTTTTGGCCTACTTAAACACTCACTCATGTGCACCTGCGCCAGTAGAACCATGTAACATTCCATGAAGTTCTCACTACTCACTAGCTCAATTTGAATGAAAGAGGAGCATTAAGATTTAAATTTTTAAGCGGTGATTATGATCACTAGATTATCAACTAACTATATACTGTCAATGTAACAATATGAAACGTGAAACAATTGAGCAATGGGGAAATATTCAAACCACCCTTGTTTTTGCGAAAATATCATTTTCACCCCTCTTATTAGGCAAATGCTCAAAACACCTATTGTGCTTATAAAAACATACTTAAAACACCCCTTGAAGTAATTAAATTTTTGAAAATGCCATGATTACCCTTTCCAATATGTATTAAATGTTATTTAGATATGATTTGACTAAAAAGTTAAGTAAAAAATTAAAAATACTTAAATAAATATTCTAATCAATTATTTTGAGAGTTTTTTTTATATTTTTAAAATTATTTTTATTTTACATTTTAGTTTAATAATGTTTTAAATAGTATTTAATAAAAATTGAGAAGGATAATATTGGTATTTAAAAAAAAAGTTGTTTCAGAAGGTATTTTAGGTCTGTTTTTATAAACACTTGTGATGTTTTGAGTAATTACAAGAGAGACAAACGTAATATTTTTACAAAATACGGGATTGTTTTGAGTATTATCTCAAGAAAATGCTATGTAACCCCACTCTTAGGGTTGGGAGAAAAGTATTTTAAACTATCAAAATTTGGCACATATATATATAGGGTCAGAATTATGCCTATCTAGGACAAATAGAAATGCTCAACACATTGCGTTGGACATGGATGCATAGAATCAGTTACAAACTAGTGGTGATCAAGACAATTTATAGTTTCAAAGACTTGGTCAAACAACAATTCACAAGTGCTAGTTTGTTGGCTGTTAGGCCCGCAAGCAATGCGAGAGAATCTCCAAGAGCCATTTCCCTCGCAACCATCCAATAACCCTTCTCAAAATTTCCACCAACCACTCCTTCTTTCCCTCTTACGTACATTCAAAACTTCCCGGAAAAACCCCACCATTTTTTTCCACCAAAACAAACACCTCCCTCAATTACCATAATTCCCAAGAAAACACAAAAACAAACAAAAAGAAAAGGCACAAATGCCAAGCAAGCTAAGGAAGGCAATTGGGGCAGTGAAAGACCAAACCAGCATAAGCCTTGCCAAGGTCTCCAACGCCAACACAATCAACATCGAAATTCCGATACTAAAAGCCACTTCTCATGACGAAGTCGCGATCGAAAACCGCTACCTCGTCGAGATCCTCCAACTCATCTCCACCAACAAAGTCTACGCCGCCTTATGCGCGCAGGCCATCGGCAAACGAGTCACCAAAACCCGAAACTGGATCGTCGCCCTCAAGTCCCTCATGCTCGTCCTCCGAATTTTCCAAGACGGAGATCCTAACTTCCCTAGAGATGTACTCCACGCCATGAAAGCGGGGGCGAGAATTCTCAACCTATCGAATTTTCGGGATGACTCGAACTCAAGCCCTTGGGACTTCACGGCTTTCGTGAGGACCTTCGCGCTCTACCTCGACGAGCGCCTCGACTGCTTCCTCTCCGGTAAGCTCCACCGCCTCCGCCGCTGCTCCTACCGCGAAATTGATAGCAGCAGCAATCGCCACGAGAGACATTGGAGACCAAACAGCGCCGAGCCCGTCCGGGACATGAAACCGTCAACGATGATCGATAGAATATCTTTCTGGCAAAAGCTGCTCGACCGGGCGATCGCCACCAAGCCGACCGGCGAGGCCAAGACGAACCGACTGGTTCAGACTGCGCTCCACGCCATTGTCCAAGAAAGTTTCGATCTTTACAGAGATATATCCGACGGATTAGCCCTTCTTCTCGATAGTTTCTTTCACTTGCATTATCAGTCATGTGTCAACGCGTTCCAAGCCTGCGTGAGGGCGTCAAAACAGTTCGAGGAGCTATCGGAGTTTTACGGCCTGTGTAAGAGCATCAGCGTCGGAAGGACGTCGGAGTACCCGAGCGTGCAGAAAATTTCCGATGAGCTTATCGAAACGCTGCAGGAGTTCCTCAAGGATCAGGCTTCATTCCCTTCTCACCGGTCGTCGCCACCTCCTTCGGCGCAGAAGCTGCTTTTCGCAGCTGCGTCGACGCCGGTTGCCACCGATCAGGCTTCGACGTCGTCGGAGCGATTCGAGACTTGTTATTATAACGAACAGTCGGAGACGTCGGGGTGGAATTCCATTTGCACGTCCCCGGGTACGGAGGAATTTGTTGATGCTATCACCGGCGATGACAACGACAACGATAATGACAATGACAATGACGCCAATGCTGTTGTTGAACCGAAACAAAATTCGTTACCGGCTGATATGGAGTCGAATTACGGATTGGATTTTCTCTCTTTTGATTATTGGCCGTCGTCTTCAACGGAGAAACATGATCAAGGAAAACGAGAAGAAGAAGAAGAAGAAGAAGAAGAAGAAGAAGAGAATTCGAAAGAAGTTAGTTGGGAGATTGTACTAGTAAATAGTACGGTCAAAGAATTATCAGAACAAGAGACATCGAATATCAAATCTAACGTTTCAGAAATGGTCATGTTGGAAAATCTATTTGATCACGACCAATACTACAATCCTTTTCTACAAGAGGGAAACGATTTATTTGCGCTTACTTCAGCATTTGAGAGCACATCAGGACTAGAGGGGACAACAGTGGCTCCGACGTTCCGCGCAGTGGTTTCCGGTGCGTCCGACACCGTGTCGCCAACTTTCTTGGCGCAAAATCCTCCAAACGAGAAGACGAGATTATCATCTAATTGTGAGAGGGACGACCCGTTTGAATCGTTCCCCAGAGAGAAACAGAGTGGGGTTGAGCACAGTGAGAGTTTTGTTCGTGAACAACAGCTGTGGTTGGAGCAACAGAAGAAGATCATTGCCAAGCGGATGTTGAGTTGATTGATCCTCATATTAGATTTTGATACATATTTGTGTAGTTGAGTTGCATTTCTGCTTTGTTTGATATTTTCAATTTCCGCTCGTTCGTGCATATAAATAAGGAGAGAAAGAAAGACACGCAATATGCAAGTTTTGCAGTGTTGCAAGGATTTTTCTGGTGTACGTAAATGGGATACAACATACGTGTACATAGAGTTGTAAACATGGGCTCCCGGCCGGCCCAGGGGTGGAGCTATGCTGGGCCCAAAAACTCCTTTTACAATTTGACCCAAATACTATAATTTTTATCATCTTTCTCCTTATTTGTCCCCACTCAAAAATTTTTTTATTGTCCTTTCTCCATAGTTTTTAAAGAAAATTTTAATTAGACCTTGAATTTTTATTTCTAGTATACTCTTATTTTAAATTTGTTTAAAATAAACTTAAACCAAAAATCAATATAAGTTTTTAGACTTTAAACTTTGGATATTAAATTTAACTCTATTAATTCTAAAAAACGTTAACTCTACTTCAAACTTAATTCATTAAGAATAAAATAGATAAATTAAGATTAAAAATTACTACATATAGTTTTAGTTCAAAACTTTAGTTCAATCAAGCTCCCATTGAACAAAAATTCTTGACTCTACCACTGGGCATGCCCTCATAAGGATGAAGTATGAGTCGGGTTGGGCCATACATTTGATTGGACCATGCCTAAGTTATTATATTTTAAAAAATTTGTTATATTTAAACTCTACTATTAAATTTTTTCCATGGGTAAATGGCCCCTTTTTAAAGATAAGTTATGTATTATGTCACCAAAACTCAACATATATTATCTTTATTGTTTTTTTAAACGATATTTTCGTAAAATATTTTTTATGCTTTACTAGAATACTCTCGAAAAATACCCTCCTATTCTCGTTGAGAAAAAAATAATCAAGTGCGTTATTTCTAGAATACTCTCGAAAAATACCCTACTATCCTCGTTGAGAAGGAAAAAAATAATCTTGTAGGATATTGGGTGATATAAATGCAAAGATGACATATTTTGAGTAGCAATTCTATATTTCTTTCAAAAAGTGATAAAAACACAAATAAAATATGAGTCCCAATCCATATATGGCCAACCAGCTATGTTATGTTTTTGGCACTTTACAGGAACACCATAAGTTTTAGATTCAGATTAACATATGTTATGAGACATAAACTATTTCAGAGAATGTCACAATCAAAGATACTTAAAAATAAAAAAATCCATAAAAATCACAAATTTAAACATGAAAAACCACAAAATTCAAAGTTATTGAATCAAATATACAAAAGTACAAACATAATTTTACTCATACTCAAAATTTAAACGATGTCACTGTGGTATACTTTGTAATAGTTTTAATGCCCATGGCAAAAGTCAATCCAACCTTGAAAATCATGGTATATTGCCTAAATATCTTGGAGACGTTTGGTTTATGGATTAGAATTATGTGATTAGAATCATTTTTTATTACGTATATTTTTTGTGAGAGAAAACACTGTAGTGAACCATGAACCATGATTCAAATCATGGTTTGAATCCTCCAACCAAACGGTGTTTTAGTCTTTATTACCATATTTACAACTAAATATTTAGAGAAAATTACAGAATTTATCCTTAAAGAGTGCATGAGTCTAAATTTTTATCTTTCATTCCTAATTAATACCCTTTTACTAGTATAGTTATTTGATTAAAAAGTTTATTAATTAAGAGTAAATGGTATAAATTATGACTCATATTCTTTTAAGGGGTATTTGTCTCCTTTCACCTTACATTTATAGCATCTAATTGTATAAATTTGATATCTATTTCTGTCACTCCCCAAAACAGAACTTAGTGACGTGGAGACTCATTTAGAGACTAAACACGATTAAAGAAATAATTAAACATTTGGGAATATAATACTCATAAATTAAAGGTAAACTATTAAAGAAATTTCTAAACAAGCTCCACATTTTACTAACCCATGTTTTGGGGCGTGACAAGACTTGGTATCAGAGTGGCGCAGCGGAAGCGTGGTGGGTGAAGCCCTGAATGATGTCAGAGGCTCAATTTTAAACCTCTTTTATCAGAAAGTGTGAAAGTCCCCACCACTTTCTTATAATTTAATTTCAGTAAAATGTGAGGCTTGTTTAGAAATTTCTCTAATAGTTTACTATATATTTTGATTATTATATTTTTAAATGTCTAATTACTTTCTTAATCATATTTAATCTCTAAATGAGCCTCCACGTCACTAACCCATGTTTTGGAGCGTGACAATTTCACTTAATTCACAATAAAATACTTTACTAGCATATTAAAATATCTTATCATATTCATTTTTTCTTCTTTATAATGATAACCGGACATTTACAACTCTGATCCTTGGAGAGTATGCTAGTAGACTATCAAAATCAACAGAGACAGCAAGAGACAAATTGGAATAAATGTAAAACTGTTGATTTTTGATAGCGTATTTCGTAATTTTCTCTAGAAAAGTCGTTAATTAGCCTAAAACTATGAAGAAAATCTAATTCTGTACACATACATTTTGAGAGAAGGTCATTTGCAGATATAATTCAAGAGAGAAATTGTCAACCTCCTATGTTATGCAAAATACCATTCAGCACCCAAAAAGAAAAAAGATGTCATCTTATAGAGCTGTCTTGTGTGCCGTGGAACTGTAACATTTAGGATAATTATACTACAATAATGGTGTCTACATTTTCCGCTTAGTTGTTCTCTTTTACATCAGTTTACTACTTTCATGCTTCCACCTAGAAGGGTAATTATACTAAAGCTTAAACTAAACATAAGTAGCACCAAATAAATTTTTAAGAGTACAAGAAGAACAGACATTTGTACATGTTTTGAATGAACGGTTTATTCGGAAAGTTTTTTTTTTTTTTTTTTTTTTTAAAGAAAAGGACAAAACTTAAAGCAGGAATAGAATAATTCTGCAAGAGGAGTAGAATAAGAATAACACAGCCATTTATTTCTTAGCGGGTAACTTTTGGCGGGAAGAAAAAAAGGGGTAGCAACCAAACAAACCACAAACCGTACCGTGTAAGAAGAGAAAGAGGAGGAGGTGAAGGAGGGATAAGCTTTACAGCTAGAGCCTAGAGAGAGTAAGAAGTTGCTTTAAAGGGATTTATGCATCACGGGAAATACGACAGAAAAAAAGTCACCAGCTTTTGTCCAAGCAAGCAGTATCTGATGCAATGTCAATTGGTTATAGAACGCCATACCCTACAAACTACAAAGAATGGTGGGGAAGGGAAGCCAAAAGAAACAGCATGTGAACTTGTGCCCTCTGCCTCTGGTGAGGAAATGGACCACACATCAAATCTCACTATAATCTAATAGAACGCATATAAATTTGCACAAAAAATAAAGAAGCTTTCACGGTAGATCCCTTAAAAAAATTCACTAGTAGAATATTTTATTTTAATTATTAAAATTTTATTTTAATTGTTGAATTAAATTTTTAATGATTAGATCTGTGTAGATCTGTATTAAAAATTAATAATGCTCTACACAAAATTATTCTCTTAAATCTAACTGTTAAAAAAATAATTTAATAATTAAAACAGGGTGTTACACTAATGAATTTTTTTAAGGGACTCACGGTAGAAAAATCCCAACAATAAAATGCATATATGATATATATATGTGTATATGTGTATATATATATATGTGTGTGTGTGTCACATACACGTACACTTTGCATATCTTTCCCATGTGAGGTCGCTGTATACTTCTGCTTGGGACCCGCACTTCTCAGTTTCCTAGTCCCGCACCTTCCCTACATTTGCGCCGAGCTTCCCTCTCTTCCCTCTTGTCCCTTTCCTTTTCCTCTTTTCCAGATCCTCAAAAATCTCAATACTGACCCATTACATTTACTAAACACCCATCTACCAAATTTATCATTTGTAGCCTGGGATTTATGCATAGTGAAAGTATATTCATTCATTCTATGCGACTCACGACGTAAATCTGATTGTTTGATTAAAAATAGAATTTAGGTTGAATCAGGATTGAAGCTCTTATTTGGTTAGTAGAGGACAAGCAGTCAAATCTAATAAACAATAATAATGATAATAATAAAAAGACAAGCAGGCAAGCTAGCCTGGATGGATTAGTTTTGGTCATGATGCATGCTGAACAAGCATGAGGGAAGGGACCCAGTCCCACCATCACCAAATCTAATGAAAGGGCCAACTCAACTCTTACAATAACAAAAGATCCTCATCATTGCCATTGATTTCCCATTACCCGCTCAAAAGAAGACCCCAAGCAAACATTTTAAAAATAAATATCACCAAATCTAATGAAAGGGCCAACTCAACTCTTACAATAACAAAAGACCCTCATCATTGCCATTGATTTCCCATTACCCGCTCAAAAGAAGACCCCAAGCAAACATTTTAAAAATAAAAAAAAAAATAAAAAGGTAATGACTAGCTCCTAAAGCTTTGGACTCACATAGCGTAAGTTATTGGAATCTAGAGCATAGTTGCAAGCCACAATAATTTCTAAATGGGGCCTCAATTTCCAATTTGTCACAAGGAACCAGGCAAAACCACACAGACTTGAGCCTAATAATAATTGAAAATAGAAATATTCAAAATCATATGTCAAGACTGCTTAAATTGCACACAAGTAAATCGCTGCATTCTGTTTTTCTAACGGAAAAAACCAGCGTCCGTTACAAATAAAGGGGGAAAAAAGACAACCGTGAATGTACATTCACAAACATACATAAATTGGTGAATAAACAATTACAATCATCATAGCCAGCTCCCTTACAACTTCATAGGGAATCAACTAACAAGATTACAAAAATAAAAATAATAAAATAATAAAAAAAAAGGCATATCGAGGATACTCCCTAAAAACCGCATCCATGCTGCTTTTTTTTTTCTGTCATATAATATAAGGATTTTTTATATTGAAAATTAAAAGAGATTATAATATTAATAAAGGTAAAATTAAAAAATAAAAAGAAAAAAAGTTTGGAGTATTTGATGTGTGTGCCTGTTGCTTGTCCACGAAAGAACTTTTCTCATTCTTCGACGGTTAGAAAATCCAAACGAATTCCTGTGAAGCACAAAACGAAAAAGATTCCAATTAAAAACACAAAAACAGATTTTTCAGTGTGAACAAAACACGTAATTAAAGTCAATGGTTAGCCCACTATCCTATTTCAAAAGAGGTTCACGAGTCAACAGTGGAAACTCTGAGCGTCATATTCACGGCCAAACTCTCCTAAAGTCGGTCATCCGTAAATTTGGCAAAGTTTAGAAACTCGGTCAAGAATTACCAAAAAAAAAAAACAAATGTAAATACGCGCTAGAGAGCTCATTAGCTCGCGGTTCGCCACGTCATCACCCAATATACTCGCGTCCCACAAGCGCTGGGCCTACCAGTACAACAAAAATTACAAACTTCTTATAACTGTCCGTTTAGGATAAAAAGCAATATCCATAAAACGGGAAGGACAATATTGTCTTTAGGCCACTCCAGTGGCCGAACAACGGTGGTGAAGTGGGCCTTCCAGGTAGCATGTTCTAACCACTTGGCGAAATCTGATTAGTTTTCTAAGACAGAATTTGAGCAGTCAAAGTCGTAAAGCCCTAGGACAACTGTGCACATAAATTAATATTCCGATTTTACCCCTGAAAAGCTGACTCACCTGAGTTTGGCGGGTAGGGTTAGTTTCTCGTCCGGTTATTCCCTCCAAGTTCTGCTGAAGATGGTCTTGAGCCTATTTCCGACGAGTCTCTGCAACGCTTTCTTGGCTCCGGTGACCTCCATCTCCGACAGCTTCTGCAAATGCGGGTGAACTCCGGAGGCCAAAAGCCTCTTCCGACACCCGTGGCTCCCTCCGCCGGCGATGGCCGCCACCACCATGACCGGAAACGTCTTCGCCACCGCCTCGTTCCTCGGATCCAGCATGTGCACGATCCTCATCATACTCTTCTCGTCTCTCACCAACTCCTTCCTGTTCGATCGGACGGCCAACAGCGAGACCAGCGCCTGCGCCGCCGACTCCTGTAGCCCCACAGGCTTCGGCGACTCCATGAGCTTAACCAGCGAGCCCATACAACTCCCTATGGCTCGCTTATTCCCATCACTGATTGATAAATAAGCGACCAACGACGCCGATAGTTGCTGCAGAATCATGTTCCCGCGCTTGATGAGCTCGCCGAGTTGGATGACGAAAATGGTTGAGGATGAAAGAATCCTTGCCGTGTGATCTGAAGACGAAAGCGAGATTATCGACCGCAAAACGTGTTCGAGAGTATCGGAGCTCGAAATGTCCTGCATCAAATGCATTAGTCTCTGCAAGCCCCGCTCTTGGATTATCAGAGCGCGGAAATACTCGCCGGAGGAGGCTAAAAACGCCACGCAGCTCGCCGCCTTCTCTTGGGAGGCGCTGACGCCGGAGACCAGAACCTGGAGGAGAACTGGGACGGCGCCTTCCTCGCCTAGAGTCATCTTGATATCCTCGACGTTCGCGACGTTTCTGATCGCCCCCACAGCGTGGGTTTGCGTTGCAGGGGATCCGGATCTGCACGCCTCAATTAAGATGGATACTCCGCCGTAGGCCGAAACCGCCCAAGCGTTCTCGGGATCGGCGGTGATGGCCTCCACCGCAATCGCCGCCTTTTCTTTGAGAACCGTCGAGCCAGTTTCCAGAATCCTCAGCAGCGGACCAAGACCTCCTTCCTCGAACACGCATTTCCTCGCCTCGTCGTTCGCCGCCGCAAGGACGGAGACGGCGAAGGCGGCTTGCTCTCGAACCGAGGGGTGATTATGGTTAAAATCAAGAAGATGAATCAAATACCCGACGTTTCCTTCTCTAGCCACCAAACTCGGCGATTTCTCGTCCTCGTTGAGAAGCTGAAACAGAGATTCCAGAGCCTTCTTCTTGAACTCAACGCCGCCGATTTGAAGCCGCGTGAAGAGGTCCCTAATAAAAAACCCTAAATCCTCTTTCCCCGTGCCTGGACCAGGATGAGAGAGTACGATGGCGTTCGATTGGTGGAGGACGCCGGATCTGAGTAGCAAATCGAGGTCGGCGAGCTGATTAGAGAGGGAAGCGGATGCCATATCGAGGTCGCTCTGCATAAGGAGCTTCCCGCCGGAGAAGGAAGAGTCGGCGCATTGGTCGGAGAGGGCCTTGAGGCGCTGGAGAGTGGAGAGGAGGTTGGGCAGGAGAGTGTGGAGGAGAGGATTCTCTGCCCAGTGAGGTGAGTCGGAGATTTCGGCGATAGAGGAGTGGAGAGAGGTGAGCTTGGAGTGGAGGACCTGCCACCGGCCGACGAAGGATTTGACGGCGAGGGAGGAGAGGAGGAGAGATGAGAGAGTTTCGTTGATGAGGTTGAGCAGAATTTGGAGAGGCGCGACGGCGGCGGACGACGGGGGAGGCATTTGCGGCGGTGACGGCGGAGGTGGTGAGGGGAGAGAAAGGGGGCTAGGACCGGCGTAGGGCTGGGTCAACCTCAGGCGTTGAATACATGAGAGAGAAAGAAGAGGGGGTTTGCTTGGATGGAAAGAAAAGGGGGAAGAAGTGAAAGAGGAGGGGAAAATGGAATTAGAGAATAGAGTGATTACTACTCTGTTGGTTCTGTTCTGTCTGACACGAGGATGGACAGAAAAGGTAAAGCTATCGAGGGGGAAGTGACTGTGGTGTGGGGAAGACCAAGAATTGAGGGAGAAGAAAGAAATAAAAACAAAAAAACAAAAAGAAAAGTTTCTAGAGGATATAATGAATTGAGGGCGGAAAAAAAAAAAATATATATATTTCTAGTTGTGAGTTGTGTCTTCTTTTTTCTTATTTTAATTATCTTTTTTTTTTCTTTTGTTTTTTTATTTGTAAATCCGAGGTTGGCGCTAATGTTATACTATATTGGAGATAGTGGGTTAAATGAGATTTCTTGATTCCTTAATTTCTTTAATTTTATTGTAATAACATGATTTTTAGTTTTCTGATTGTTGGCCTAAAATTGTATTGACTTTTGTTTATTTTTTTTATAGTTTTTCTTTTTTTTATTATTGTACAGTTGACTACTATATATAATCTTATTTTCTCTATACGAATAAGAAAAATTATACTATTAAAACTTTATCTTCTTCATATTTCTCTTTCTATTTTATTAAAACTTTTGTAATACTAAACTAAGATTAAAAAAACAAGTACATGTTTGCTCGATTATGAGTTGTGACTTATGAGTGTTCTTGTTTTTGGGGGCGTCAATTATAAACTTTTCTTTTCTGTTTTGGAAGAGAATTATAAATTCAGGAGTTTAGATTCATGTGAAATTATTCTGATGTTGACTTAAAATGCAAATATGTATTTTTAAATAAAGTGGAAAATATGAGGGATTTTGACCTTAATAATTTGTTTGCCGCTTACTAGAAGTGAATAAAACCTTCTAATTTTCATGATGCGTTTGTTTTTTTTTTACCATTTTAAGAAAATTATTTACTTACTCTTAGAGTGTATACATCTGAATTTTTATCTTTTACTATTAATTAATATTCTTTTAAATAATATAGTTATTTAACTAAAATAGATATTAATCAATAATAATTAGTAAAAATCTAGACTCTTTCACAATTTTTTCCTCTTATTTTTTAAACTATGCAACTATTAGACAAATATACCTTGCAGAGAAAAAAAAGAAAAGACAATGTTCCAAATGAGGGGAAAAAAGTTATCGATCGTTTAGAAAATAAATTAATAAGTTAATTTCTCGAACATCCATGATTTTAAATATCTTTTAGGGGATGTTTCGTATAAGATAATCTTAAGGATGGGAATGAGAATCTTACATATTCTCATGTTTAGTATAATTATTAAATTTTTTTAAAACTTAAAAAAATAAAACCCATAAATTTTACATTACCACATTTTGGGGTAATCTAAACCCACTTAGGGGGCGTTTGGTATGGGGTAATCATAGGGGTGGGAATGAGAATTTTTCAGATTTTCATGTTTAGTACAATTATTAGACTTTTTTAAAACCCAAGAAAGTGAAGCCCATGGGTTTCACATTACCCTATTTTAGGGTAATCCTAATCCCACCCAATAAGGTGTTATTCAAATTCCCAGGAAT